TAAGAGTCCTGGTGTGGCACTGGACTGCAAAGTCGGTTTGTATAACAAAGTTGGTGGTTCAAGCTCACCAGCTGCTCTTTGGAAACCCTGTACAGGATTGCTATAGGTTGGAACCAACTCAACAGTACTTCCCAGCAACAACAAACAAGACCCTGGTGAGAAACAGATGTAGACCCCATCCAAATTCATGTGTTGCATTTGGTAATTGTCGGTTTATTCTGGAAGAGACCTCTACATCCTTTTTGATTGGCATTGCCTCGTTGAAGAGAACAAGCTAGTGTCTTGTGGAGTGGTTGATGTTGGGGGTTCATCTTATTCCTCATGTTGTTGTTGAATGTGGTGCTTTACCCCTAGTGTTTCCTGAGAGTGGGAGATGGTGTGGTTTGATCCTGGACTTTGGCACAAGCATGTGATTGTCATTGCTGTGTGTGCTGCACAGCCCAACCCATCCCATCCCATCTGCAGGCACATGTGCTAAACTGTTTCATTGCTTATAAGGCCAAGTGTGACCACTAGCCCCCAGATGTGTCTAGTGGGAAGATATGTTTTTCACTTCTGCAGAGAATTCTAAGGGCCTTTCTTTGACTCCACATGAATATTTTGTATCCCAACAACCTACTGTTTAAACATTCTTTGCTTGGACAAATTATTTATTGGCATTTTCAAAATGGTCATTTTTCTGTTATCTTTATTAGCTGACATTATTCTATAAAAGAGAACTTTCTCCCATTAACCAGGAATAAACGACAACTACTTCTTCCAAAGAAGATGGGACAAATGTTTAATTCTTTCCCTTTATGGCCAATTTTCAGGGTAAGACATTGGTGTAATCTATAAGTGGTGGTTATGGGGTCACTCTTACCTCTTGGATTTCTGTTCTTCATTGTGGTACATTCATTATTCTTACTGTTTGATGCTGGGATTTCCCCACATTTGGTCAGTGGGAGTCCTTCAGGTTAGCTGGTGAGCCCTCTGACATGCTCTAAGTGGACCCTGAGCACATCCTTGCTTTTGGGAACATACAGTGTCTCAGGCTTGTCTTATATTTTCTCTGCTCCAAACCTGACATCACCCATTTCTCCTGGTCACCTGGTCACCCCTGGTGGGCAGTGCTTCTTAGAGCTAAGGACTTGGGGTGCCTTTGGTTCTGAGGCATCATTGCTCCTTCGCCTCTCACTGGGCCAAGCCAGGGAATACATGTCAGCACTGAGGTCTTACTGATATTCCAACTCAAAATTGGAGGTTTTTTTCCTTAAGGAAGAGTACTTATATTTCGTTATGGCACTATAGGAAAAGCACTAGATTGCTAAGTGCAAGGGTGGAGGTTCAAACCCATCAGCGGCTCCTTGGAAACCCTATACAGGGTCACTATGAGTCGGAACTGACTCAGTGACACTTCACAACAACAACAGTGTAGGATAAGCACTGCAAGGTCGGCAGTTCAAACTCAGCCAGCTGCTCCTTGGAAATTCTATGAGGCAGAACCGACTCAACAACACTTAACAACCACCACCACCAGAGGTACTATTTGTATTAACATTAGCGATGTACTTCTGTAAATGCAATCTCTGTAGTAGTAAAGACCTGTGGGAGGGCTGTTCTCTTCTGTCACATGGAGTTGTTAAGACTTGAAATCAACTCCACCAGTAAGGTCAAGTAAATCAGTAAAGATCTGATCAGGAACCATGGGTTTCGCTGTTCTTGTTAAGTGCTATCGAATCTGTTCTGACTCATAGTGACCCTGTGTAGAGTTTCTGAGGAGCAACTGGTGAATTTGAACCACTGACCTGTGTTCAAACCGACCTTTTGGTTGAGTGCTGAGGGGGGAAAGGAGGATTTCTTTCGAGTTCTTTCTGCCTTAGGCTGTAGCCCACTGAAGATTAGAGGCTGGGCTGTGCGATCAAACGTCCCTGGCAAGCTTCCAGGTTGGCAGGCAGCCACATTCACTTGTTTCTGTTTGTTTTTAAGTTTATTTGCTTTCTGTCCTTTGTGATTTAACTTCTTTCGTATGTAAAACATTTACATGTTTCAGAAATCAAAGCTAGAGTAAAACTCAAAGTTTCCTTCTATCCCTCTGGCATAGTCCCACTTGCTCAGCCTCTTAGATGCAGTTTTCGTTTCCGTGTTAACTTTCTAGGGGTTAGTTTTGTTGTCATAGCCGATGTGGGCTTGTTTGTGGGTCCTCCCCCTCACTTGAGAGGGGAGGGCAAAAATAAGCAAATGCTGAGTATATTTTTCTTTTCTTTTTTTTACGTATACAAAAGGTAACATTTCCAACTGTACCTTTTTCCTATCTTGCTCTTTTCAGTCAATATTTATATCCCAGAACCTCGCTCTGTATTGAAGTCATTGGCATTTGGCTTTCTGTCTGCGCAGGGCTCTGGTGTGTGGGTGTTGCATAGTTTTCTCAGCTGGTCTTCAACTGGTGGACATTTGAGCTGTCCCTAGGATTTTGGTATGATATGCAACGTGGTAATGAAGAATCATGTATTTCTGGTGTTTTCTCCTTGTGGAAGCTGTGGTTTTCAGGTCCATGTCTAGGAGAGGAACTAAGATCAAAGTAAGGGTTTCTGCTGTGTTACTCTTCTGAGCTCCCACTAGTGATGTGTGCCCAGTCCACATCCTCTCAGCTTTGCCACCACAATGGCTTGTTAAGCTTTGGGATTTCTATAGACTGATTGTTTTGAAACAGCTCTCAGTATGGTGTGGGTTTATATTTTTTATGAGTGAAGCTGAGCATCTTTTATGTTATTTAGGTCATTTGTCTTTTTTTTTTTTTTTCCTGGAAAGTTCGATTCATGTCTTTTCTTCAAATTTTTTTCCTCTCATGAAAGATTGGTTTGAACCACAAAGTGGTCAGTTTGAACTTCCCCAGCCGCTCCTTGGAAATCCTGTACAGGGTCCCTATGAGTCGGAACTGACTTGATGGCACTCAGCCAGCCACAAAGGGAGGAGAATACTTAGGGGTGTCCTTTTTAGTCTTCTCCTTTCTTTCCTCTTTTTTGGGGGGGAACATCCAGGGAAGAGAGTGTTTAGAGGTGTCATTTGGAAAACTGGCTGAAAAGTTAAAGCCGCCTATCTGTCTCTTTGATTAGGAGGCCAGGCAGTGGGGGCTGGGGCCATCAGGGTGGTACCAAGGGCTCCAGCATGTACAAGCCCAGGGGCTGGGATCTCTGAATGGCGTGCTGACATGGAAACAGTCCAGTTCACTCAGAGCTAACCCTCTTGGGTGTCTTTGGCCTTCATTGGTCCTGTGACTTGGTCTGCTCACTGGGGACAGGCCCCCTGTGCCTGGTCTCTGTGGCCAGCTTCCCTTGGATTATGTTCCCTCATTACCTCTCCTCCCTGTGAGACACCCTCACTCCCACTCTGGGGCCAGAGCTAGGCAGAGCAGTGCTGCTTGGTGCCATTCCCCTGGGGTTCACCCTAGGGCCCTTGGCCCCCACTCTCCTTCAGCCTCACTCCCCCTCCCCCCCCCCCCCCCCCCCCCCCCCCCCCAGTGCTGGAGCCCTGGGACTCAGACTGTTCCTCGTCCAGCCCTCAGCCCTCCACTGCTGTACTGCCCTTGGCCTTGGGGAAAAGCAGTGGGGTGCTATCTGGTCCTCTCCACTGGGGTCAGACTGCTTATGAATGGTGGTCCCATGGACCCAGCACATGGAGTCCCCTTCCTCCTGGAGCCTAGTGCTCCTGGCCATGGGGGCCTCCTAACTGTCGCTCCTGGTATTGACAGAAGAGGGAGCAATGTTCTTGTTTTTAAAGGTTTTTATTGTGGGTTGAGTGAAAGTTTACAGGGCAGATCATCAGTTTTACATTCAACAAATGTACCATCACTTAACAATATTTCTCTCTATTCACGTTTGCTTTTTTTAAAAAAACACAAACAAAAACATTCAGGCATATATAATTATTTACACCTCCAACGGGCACATTCTGCAAGTCTGCCTCTTGGCTGCCAGCTCTCAGTCCCACTCTTCCCCTGAATCTAGAGTCCTCAGCTGCTCCACCTCTCCATGTCCCCATCTCTGCCTCCGTCTCTGGCATTGCTGCTTCTCTGGATAAGGTCCCACATTCCACTTGTGCTTTTTTCCCTTGATGGTCCTAGGGTCCCCTGTTTCTGGACTGTAAGATTAACCACTGCCCTGTTTTTGTTACAAAACTTCCTCTTTTTACAATTGTGACAGTCACAATTAGTCAGGATAACAATTACTCACTGTTGAATTGTTAGAATCTTATCCCCATCTCTTTTCACCAGACCCATCTAGACAAGATGAAAACTATTCAGTGAGTATTCTTCCTCCCCCTCCCCCCAATGCAATGTTCTTTTGAATGTATTTCTCAACATTGTTGCTCCTGCACTTTAACGGATGGTGATTTCAGTGGCATTTTTGCCAAGTAAGAGTTAACGACAATGCCACCTCAAAAAGATGAAGGCAGGGAGGCAACCTGGTTCCCAACTGGTTGTTCTTGAGGGCAGATGTGAAGCCCACCCCTCGCGGCACCTGTTACTATAGTGGTGGTGGTGGGAGAGATGTGAGTGTAGGGGAAGGGTTTGTGCTCTCCTAACTGGGGCATTTAAGACTCTTGTCCTCTCAGCTCTGAGAGTATGCGTGTGTGTGGATGTATATTCCAGTTTTGATGGCAGGTGTGGGACATATTTTTTCCTTAATCCTGTGCGCCCAAAGTCATAAATCCTTGGCCATGCCCTCAGGTCCTTCTGCCCAGCAACAGACTGGTTTACAAGGACGTGGTAAACGCTATAAATCTCATTTCAGGAGAAACTGATTGCATGGATTGGAAAGAAACCTAGTCTCCCGAACCTGACTCTTTCATTTTGTTAATTTGGATAGTTGATGATATGCTTTGTGATTAATGTGTTTATTGAATCGTGGCTGCGATGGAAGCAGAATTAGTAATCATGATCAGAGCAGAAATCTCTGCCAAGTGAGAAGATGATGAATGAATCCAATTCCTTTTACACTCGTGGGCTCTCTTTCACACAGGATCTCCTGGCTTCCAGCTCAGGTACATGGTGGACCCCGGGTTCCTGAAACCTGGGGAGCAGCGCTGGTTCCTCCGGTACCTGGCCATGCAGACCCTGCAGATTGATGTTTGGGATGGCGATGCTCTGCTGCTCATCGGCTCAACCGCTGTCCAGATGAAGGTAATGTGTCTCCCTATGGGAGCTTGGTCTAGGTAGTGTGCCCCGTAGGTGCATGTGCAGTAGTGTTAGTCCACACCTAGCATCTCTGTTCCCTCAAATGGCAGTCTGCTGTGCCCTCTCCTTTCAGAATGGGAAAGGTGGCTCACAGAGCTTTAATTCGGTAATTCTAGGTGTTTCCTCCAGGAACCCATATGATCAAAGTCTGCCATCAGTTTCTCCAACAAACTCCCAGTCATGCCAGGCCATTTTCCACTCCTGGGAATGTGATTGCATACTCTCCCTAAGGAGTCCTTGGGTGTGCAGACAGGTAATGTGCTTGGCTACTAACCTAAAGCTTGGAGGTTCGAGTCTACCCAGATATCCTAGGAGGAAGGTCTGGCAATCTACTATTGAAAGATCAGATCTTAAAAAACCCATGAAACATAGTGTTCAGGAGTTGGTGTCGACTCAGCGTTCACTGGTTTTTAAATTCCCTGAAGACAGGTGCTAGACTGGTCTTAGTTATTACCATGCTGGGACCAGGGTTGCCAGAGGGTTGGTATGACTATTGAGTGAGTGATTGAATAAATGAATGAGCAAGTGATTGAAGGAAGGAAGGAATGGTTGGGGTGTAAAAATATCATCTATTCCTGTTAAGTGCACTATGTTTTTCTAAACGCTCATCACCACTCTTGTATACTAAGGCCTCCATCAGCCTGATTGCCCTGCATACTTCCAGGTTTCTCTGAACCTTCTGCTGCATGCAGGAGATCTAGATCTGTTTATTATTATTATTATTATTATTGTGAATTGAGTGACATGGGAGAACGTTGTGCCCTCTCGTTTGAAACTCATTGTTTCATTGCAACGATTACAGTCCCCTCTGTGTATCATCATTCAACAGTATTTGCTTCTATTCCCTCTGTTTTTTGGGGGTGGGGTAGGGGTGAAGGGAGGATGTACCCCAAAACACTCAGAAATATATTATCATGTAAACAGTAAAAAAGCACATTCTGCAAGCCTGCCTCCTGGCTGCCAGCACACAGCCTTTCTCTTTCCATGAGTCTAGAGTCGGGATCTGTTTCTGTTGCTGTAAAAAGATATATACAATGAATAAATCATTGGTCTTGAAAAATGCTATCAAGCAGTCAATCTCTGGAGTTGTTTCTATTAACAAGGCCATAATTTCCAACTACTGATCCTTTTGTTTCCAAAGTTCACATTCCAATCACCAGTAATTATTAATGCATTTTGATTCCAATCATGAGTAATTATTAATACATCTTGATTGCATGTTTGGTTAGTTTCAGACTACAGAAGTTGGTTAAAACCTTCAGTTTCTTCATCTTTACCCTTAGGGGTTAGTGTGTAAATTTGAATAATAGTCATATTACCAGGTCTTCTTTGTAGGTATGTGGCTATTATCCATTCATTGACAGCATTGTTCTTCAGGCTATATCTTGAGATGTTAATTTTGACGATTAATGTAACTTCATTCCTCTTGAATTTGTCATTCCCAGAATAGTAGAACATATAATTGTCTGAATGAAAATCACCAGTATTCGTCCATTTCAGTTAACTAATGCTTAGGATATTGATGTTTATACATGAATAAAGCAAAGCATTATTAAAACTAGAGGAGAGTGAAGATCAAAATGGATGTCAGAAGAGAATCTAAAACTTGCTCTTAAATGTAGAGTAGTTAAAGTGAATGGAAGGTATAATGAAGTGAAAGAGCTGAACAGAAGATACCAAAAGGTGGCTCAAGAAGACAGAGTAAGGAACTATAATGAAATTTACAAAAAATGGCAGTTAGAAAGTCAAAATGGAAGAATACAGTGAGCATTTCTCAAACTAACAGAACTGAATTAAAAATTCAAGCCTTGAGTTGCAATGTTGAAGAATTTTTTACCGGCAAAATATTGAACGAAGCAGGAAGCATCAAAAGAAGAGAAGGAAGGAATACAAAGAGATGCTGTACCAAAAAGAATGGTTGGCATTCAGCCATTTCAGGAAGAGCATGTGATAAACACTGATAGTATTGGCAAGTCCTAGCTACCCTGAAGGTGTTGATGAAAAAACCAGGCCTCAGGAGTGGGCAGAATACCAGTTGAGATGTTTCAACAAATGGATGCAACAATGAAAGTGCTTACTCCTCTGTGCCAGGACATTTGGAAGACAGGTACCTGGCCAACTGACTGGAAGAGTTCCATATTTATGCCGATTCCAAAGAAAGTTGATCCAACAGAATGCTGTAATTACTGAACAATGTCATTAATACTATATATTAATGGATTCTTTAAAAATGATTGTTGTAGTAGTACATTGACAGAGAACTGCCAGAAATTCACGCTGGATTCAGAAGAGGAAATTTTTGATGTCGGATGGATCTTGGCTGAAAGCAGAGAAGATCAGAAAGATGTTTGCCTGTGTGTTATTGATTTTGCAATGACATTAGACTATGTGGATCACAACAAATTAAGGATATAATTGCAAATAATGGATATTCCAGAACACTTAATTGTGCTCATGAAGAACCTGTTCATAGACCAAGAGGCAGTTGCTTGAACAAAACAGGGCCTACAACATGGTTTAAAATAAGGAAAATAGTATGCTAAGCAGATAGATAATCAGAGAAGTCAGACTAAGTGAAGAAGAATGTGGCATCAGGATTAGAAGGAAACTCATTAGCAACCTGTAATATGTAGATGATACCACCTTGTATGCGGAAAGCGAAGAGGACTTGAAGCACTTACTGATGAAAGTCAAAGACTACAGTCTGTGGTGTGCGCTATACTTCAATATGAAGCAAAAATCCTCACAACTGGACTAATAAAGAGTGTCATGATAAATGGGGAAAAGATTGGCATGGCCAAAGGTTTTGTTTTACTTGGATCCACAACCAATACCCATGGAACCAGGAAATTATTGTATTGGGCAGGTCTTTTACAAAATTACTTCTTTAAAGTATTAGGAAGTAAAACTGTCACTCTGAGGACTCAAGTGCGCATGACCCAAGTTTTATTATTTTCAATCGTCTCATATGCATGCAAAACCTGATAACGAATAAGGAAGACCATCGAAGAATTGACAGCATTGAATTGATGCTTTCTGGAGGAGGGTTTCACTTCGTTGCACCCTGTGCTCCCTCCCATCTACCTGTGAGAATGCTCTAGAGAATGGTCAGAGAAGATTGAGTGACCTCTCACAGCCAGACAATCCTGTACCCCAGCTCCGACTCCTCGGCTGCTGCTGTGAGGTCCCCATCCCCCAGGAAGACCTTCCAAGCCCTGTGCTTGGGCAGAGGATATAGGGACTGCACTGGATTAGCAGGAAGGCCTCCTGACTGTGTCCTGCATCTGGACTTTGACCACCCTCACCCACTCTGACCAGCCTTGGGCTGACTTCCTTAATCTGAGTCGCTGACCCTGGTGTGGACCTTTGTCCTGTTGCTCCCTTTCCTTGGCAGGCTCTTCCCTGCTTCTCATGCTATAGACTCAGGCTCCGGCCCTGGAGTCTACCCGCTGGGCATGCGCTGACTTTCAGCGTTACTGTCTGCTGAGACCAATGTCTGTCTGCTGGTGTTTTGTCCCCCTTCCCTTCCCTTCTAGCTCATTAGTTCCTGAGAGCAGGGACGTTGCTGCTTCTGCCCCTGCTCTGACCCCAGGCTGCCATGATGAGTCGTGGAAAGAAGGGCCTGTGTCCTCAAGCTGCTCTCTGCCTATTGTCTTTGCAATCCCTTGTGCATATCACCAGCCCATTTTGCAGCTACTCTCTGGGTACAACTGGGTTGATTCCACTCTTACTTCCTCTAGTGATGTCCCTCTTACCAGCTGCTGGCCCTATTCCACCAGCCACTGCTGATTGACTAGTGGGGGTCATCCATCCACTAGTAATACTGTGCATGAAATTGAGATAGGACGAGGTGGGCTATAGTGGTTGTATTGTAGCTTGAGGGGCAGGAAAGTTCTTTTCAAAGAGGTGACCAGCAGGCTGAACCCCATGTTCAGGGAGAGCAGAGCCCTCAGGCCAACATGCACTTAATGGACCTGTAACCAAAGCAGTGACATGTCGCTGGTGCAGCCTTCTTCACTCATACCTTGATGTCTCTCATGGGTCAGGTGAACTCTGAACCCTCGATCTGGCAAGGACATCATTGCTATCTGCCTCCACACCATGCTCAGCCCATCCCTTGATGCTCTCCACAGCCCGTCTTCTACTCCACGGGCCCATCTCTCAGCCGCACTAGAGCTCACTTCATGTCCTGTGGCTCTGGGCCTCAGTCAGAGGCTTGGGGACCTCAGGGTCTGCCCACTCCTGGGTGACTTGGATCTGCTCAGGTCCTCTCCTGAAGGAGTAACCCCTTCTGGGCAGCTGCGGTGCCATCTATGTCCCCAGTGTCTAGCAGGGCTTGTTCAGTTGCCACTCTGGTTGGGTTTTCTTAAAGATTCATGAGAAAGACTATGAATTGAAAGGCAAAGATCCTAGGAAGTAGTGGGCTTCTGCCTGGTTTACAAGTTTGTGTACATGTCGGGTTCTTGTCCCTCCTCCTCCTCAGTGGCCTTCTTGATGGGTGGGGAGCTCCTAAATGTTTATGGGGGCACCGGGAGGTGGACCATGGACTGACTCTGGCTTCTGAACATGTTTCTTACACAGCATCTCCTCCGCCAAGGGCGGCCTGCTGTCCAAGTCTCACATGAACTTGAGGTGGTGGCAACAGAATATGAACAAGATGTGGTTGTAGTCAGTGGAGACATGACCCGATTTGGCAGCGTCAAGCCCATTGGTGTCCACACGGTGGTGAAGGGCCGGCTGCATTTGACCTTGGCCAATGTGGGTAAGATCCAAGTATCCTTGCCAGCCTTTTTCTGTTTCCCAGGCAGTGTCTTGTCTCCTCTGCTAGAAGGCCAACTCTCTTGGGTGAGTCACATCCTGAGCATGGTCTTATACCCTTAGTAGGAATTCAGTGAGATTCCTGTTAGCCTGCCTCCTGAGAATCTGACTTTGGCCACTAAGAACTTGACCTTGGTCACTGATAGCATGACCTTGTCTCCTGGGAGTCTGACTTTGATCACTGAGACCTTGGTCCCTGAGAGTCTGACTGGGCACCGAGTGCTGTGTGTCCTTAGCTCATTTCTGATCAGGATTGGAGACCACTAGTCTGATGGTCTTGCCCATATTTACTTCTTGGTGTTAGTCATGGGACATTTCTAACAGCCCTCAAACAAAGTGAATAGGTTCCAAGGAAGATGTTCATTGGAGTTCAGCCCACCACGCTGTTCATCAAGGAGGAGAGAAGAGAAGGACTCTGAAATGTTTGCACACTTGTGAGCAGGAGAGTGGGGTAGTGTGTTCTCCAAAGACACTGAGCTCTAACTCCCATCATCCTGCGGCCTGGGTGTGGAAAGCCAGCAGGTAGGCTGCATGTGGTTCAGGATGGACCTACCTAGGGTGTCCCAGAAGCTTTGACTGGGCTGATGATGGGGTAGGCAGACAGAGAGGCATGGAGCTGGGTGTGCCTGCTGTGTGGCCTGAGACATGGGAACCAACAGGGACCCCCTGGGACAAGTGACAAATCACTGGGTCTCCCTAGTGGGGACTCTAGAAAAACTGAGGCTTTGTCTTAGCAATACAGAAGGCACAACAAAACCAAGCTGTTTGAGGTTTCTGCAGCTGTTTTATTAGGGAATTTTCCATTCTTCAGAACCCAGGCTGATTCTAAATCCTCCAACCCCACAGGCCCGCTCCGCTAGTGCCGATGATGCACTAAGGCCTGTAGCTGAGGAGCCGCAAGCATACAACTCATTAGGTCTGGCGGAGGGTGTCTGCCTGCTTGTTTGCAGATGTAAAAGCCAAGGCAGCTTTGGAAGTAGACAATATGGGAGCAGCAAAACTCAATTAGGTCCTGGAGAAATGAGTGAGCCACATGTGAGCAGTGGACATGATTCAAAAGCGCCTCTAACATCGGCAGGCCTGGCGTTGCGTGGAGCATTCTCCTTCCTAGACTGTGCCTGACTGGGTATTTTTACATTGAATTCAGCAGCCCCACAAATGTGCAGTGACTCCAGGTTCTAAAATCTTATCTGCAGAAGAAAGATTAGCTCCATTATATGCTATCTTAAATTGTCATTTTCATACTTTGCCTGCAAGAGGGAGATAAGCTCTTGGGGAAGAGCGTAGGCCTTCCCCAGCTCGAGAGGCCTGGCTGCAGCGCTGCAGAGGGAGATTAGCCAAGGACAGACGCCAGACCTGGTGCACTGTGCGACCGTGCAGCGCCCTTTGATTTCCTCGGTAAACTTGGCAGTTTCAAGGGAGAAGAAAGAAGTCTTGTGGCCTTTATTTCTTCATAAAATCAGTTATTGTACATTGAGCAGAGGAGCTCGCCTGCAAATTGGTTGATGACTGTGTAAGTCTCCAGGATGGCAGAGGGAATCAAAGGCAGGGCCTTGATCCTGGACGACCAGCTCTCAGGCCTTTACCTGGAGGTCACATTTGAGGCCAAAGTAGAAGCATCCACTGCAGATGTGCAGCGGTGGTATTGGCCAGTCCCCCAGTTCCCTTGTAGATCTTCTCATGAGGGCAATGTGTACAGGACTGGTGGCTTCTCATCTTGTGCAGGGTCTTTGTGTTTTCAAACAACCACTTTGCATGTGTCCTTTGATGGTCTCTTGTCACATAAAGGTTGTAGGGACCATACTATTTACTTTGTTCCCAGGATCATTGCTGTGAAGCAAGACGATGGGTGACTGGTAGTCCATTTGTCACTTATCTCCTGCAGCCCCCTGGAGGGGCTGTCCTGGGGACACAAGGGCTGCCCTGGCCACCACGGGGAGCACCAGTGGAGCCCCCATCTCACTGAAAGCAGGAGCACTGGGGCAGCTCGCCATCCCCGACACACCCTGATGATGGGCAGCCTTGCTGTCTCCTGTCAATCCAGGGCATCCCTGTCATGCAGAAACCAGAGTGGCCTGTGTAACCGTGGTCAGAGGAGGCCACAGCGCAGCCCACAGGGCCCTTCGTCTGCCATGTCACAGGAATGGTCACTGTGCTCTCTTGGAGGGCCAGAGCTCCAGCAGTGTAGCCCTGAGGTGTCCTGACCTGAGCCTGACATGGCAGTGGCTTCCTGGTTTCCATGTGCCCCTCAGAGAGGAACATGCTCCCAAGGCCTACCTACCTGGTCATTGCTGTTAGAAATGGATGGATCAGAGAGACTCTTCACTACAGCCTACTGAATCAAGGTGGCCACAAAAGCTACAGAAGATTCGCAGGTCTCCCTCAGGGTGCCTGAGGTTGCAGGCAGCTTGCCAGATGCCCACGACACCTGATGGTTGACTGAGTAGCTTATTCCAGTATGGTGTGGGAAAAGACAGAGAGTTGGTCAAGACCTGCCAGCCTGGAGCCATCCCCTGGCCGTGAATGTCTATGGGAAGCAGCACAGGAACAAGACGTGTGGACTGCTTGGGGTCCATGGGAGGCTGTGAGGCTCAGTGCCCTCGGTCCTTGTGACACCTGCTGAGCCCTTACACATGTGAGTCTCTATGAGGCCACTGACCATTTCCTGCTCATCACGATGTTGGCTGGGACCCTCCCAGTGGGCTGATGAACAGGCAAGTTCAAGTACCCATCTGGCTCCAGAACGTCCTTCTTTGACTTAGAAGATGAACAGGCCGTGAGAGATTGATATTTGTCCATGCAAAGGATTTTTTCAGGACAGGATCATGGCACTTGGTGGGAAGATGTGTTTTGACCTAAATATGAAGGCTTTATACTTTATTGGTATTTTCAATAATCTCCTTTGCATGCGAAAGCTGGACAGTGAATAAGGAAGACCACAGAAGAATTGATGCTTTTGAGTCATGGTGTTGGAGGAGAATATTGAAAGTGCCATGGGCTGCCCATAGAACCAACAGATCTGTGTTGGAAGAAGTGCAGCCAGAGTGCTCCTTGGAGGCCAGGATGTCCAAACTTTGTCTCTCATACTTTGGACATATTGTCAGGAGGGACTAGTCGCTGGAGAAGTTTATAATGTTTGGTAGGGTGGAGGATCAGAGAAAAAGAGGAAGACCCCCAGTAAGATGGATTGGCTAAGTGGCAGCATCAGTGGGCTCAAACGTGGCAACAATAGTGAGGTTGGCCCAGGATTGGGCAGTGTTTCGTTCTGCCGTGCATAAGGTCGCTATGAGTTGGCACCGACTCAATGGCACCTAACAACAAACAACATGATTTACTTCCACCACTTGTCTGTTTGTCCTACCATGGTGGCTTGTGTGTTGTTGTGATTCTGGAAGCTAAGCACCAGTATTTTAAATAATAGTAGGGTCACGTCACCCGTGCTATACAGGTTTCACATGAGCTTCCAGAAGTAGACAGTTTAAGAAGACAGAGCGGCAGACAATTTTGGAATGTTTAGTCACTGAAAATCCTATGAATAGCAGCAGAATACTGTTAGATAGCATCAGAATATTGAATATTGAAACATGATGAAGAGCACCAGAATATTGTCAGATACAGTGCCAGCAAATGAGCCTCTCAGGTTGGAAGTCAAAATGACACTGGGAAAGAGCTGCCTCCTCAAAGTAGAGTTGATCATGATGATGTGAATGGAGAAAAGCCTTTGGGACCTTAGTTTGCTGATGAGGCACAGCTTAAAATGAAGAGAAACAGCTGTAAGCATCCATTAATAATCAGAACATGGAATATACAAAGTATTAATCTGGGAAAGTTAGAAATTGTCAAAAATAAAATAGAATGCATAAACATTGATAGTCTAGGCTTATTGAGTTGAAATGGACTGGTATTGGTAATTTTGAATCTAACAGACACATATTTTATTATGCTGACAATGACAAGGTGAAGAGGAATGGCGTCATATTCATCATCAAACAGAACACGTCAAGATCTGAAGTACAACCCTGTCTGTGATAGGATAATATCCATACGCCAATAAGAAGACCAGTTAATACCACTATTATTCAAATTTACACACCAACCACTGAAGCCAGTGAAGATGAAATTGAAGAATTCTACCAACATCTTCAGTCTGAACTCGATCAAATACGCTATCAAGATACATTGATAATTCCTCGTAATTGGAATGCAAAGGTAGAAACAAAGAGGAAGGATCAGTGGTTGGAAAATATTGCCTTGGTGATAGAAATGATGCTGGAGATGGCATGATAGAATTTTGCAAGACCAATGACTTCTTCATTGCAAAAGCGTTTTTTTAAACAACATATAAGATGATTATACACATAGACCAATACACATGGATAGAATACACTGAAATGAAATTGACTGTATATATGGAAAGAGACAGTGGAAAGGCTCCATATCATCAGTCAAAACAAGGCCAGGGGCAGACTATGGAACAGACCATCAATTGTGTAGTTGAAAGTTCAGGCTAAAGTTCAAGAAAATTAATACAAGTCCACAAGAGCCAAAATATGACCTTAAACATATACCACTAGAATTTAGAGATCATATCAAGAACAGATTAAACACTAAAGACTGAAGACCAGAAGAGTTCTGGGATGACATCAAGAACATCATACAGGAAGAAAGCAAAAGGTTATTAAGACAATAAAGAAGGAAAAAAACAAAATGGATGTCAGAAGAGACTCTGAAACTTGCTTTCCAGCATAGAGCTACTAAAGCAAATGGAAGAAATGAGGAGGTAAAAGAGCTGAATAGAAAATTTCAAAGAGCAGCTCGAGAAGACAAAGTCAGATATAATGAATGTGCAAAGACCTGGAGTTAGAAAACCAAAAGGGAAGAACACACTTAGCATTTCTCAAGCTGAGGGAACTGAAAAAAAATTTTAAGCCTCAACTTGAAATATTGAAGGATTCTATGGACAAAATATTGAATGATGCAGAAAGCATCAAAAAAAGATGGAAGGAATACGCAGAGTCACTGTACCAAAAAGAAATGGTCAATGTTCAACCATTTCAAGAGGTAGCATATGATCAAGAGCCAGTGATGTTGAAGGAAAAAGTCTTAGGTGCATTAAAGACATCGGCAAAGAACAAGCTTCCAGGAATTTGATGGAATATAAATTGAAATCTTTCAATAATGTGATACAGCACTGCAGCCAGTCACTAATCTTTGCCAAGAAATTTGGAAGATGGCTAGTTGACCAGCTGACTGGAAGAGATCCATATGTGTGCCCATTCCAAAGAGAGGTGACCCAACAGAATGTGGAAATCATCAGACAATATTATTAATATCCCATGCAAGTAAATTTTTGCTAAAGATTATTAAAAATGGCTGCAAATATACATTGAAAGAGAACTGCCAAAGGTTCAAGCCAGATTCAGAAGAGAACGTTGAATGAGGGATATCAATGCTTACGTCAGATGGATTTTGGTTGAAAGCAGAGAATACCAGAAAGATGTTTACCTGTGCTTTATTGAGTATGCAGAGACTTTCGATTACGTGGATTATGACAAGCTACTACGGACAACATTGCAGAGAATGAGTATTCCATAACTCTTAATTTTGTTCATGAGGAACCTGTACATAAACCAGGAGGGAGTTGTTCTAATAGACCAAGGGAACACCGAATAGTTTAAAATCAGGAAAGCTGTGTGGTAGGGTTGTATTCTTTTACCACACTTATTATTCAGTCTGTATGCTAAACAGATGATCTGAGAGGCTATATTTTATAAAGCAGAATGTGGCGTCAGCATCGGAGAAGACTCATTAGCAACCTGTGATATGCAGATGATACAACCTTACCAATGCTGAATCTGAAGAGGACTTAAAATGCTTACTGATGAAGATCCAAGATTACAGTCTTCAGTATGGGTTGCACCTCAGTGTAAAGCAAACAAAAGTCCTTTTAACTGAACCAATAAATAAAAGTGGAGAAAAAATTGAAGTTGTCAAAGACTTCATTTTGATTGAATCCACAATCAACACTCATGCAAGCAGCAGCCAAGAAATCAGCACTCATGTAAACAGCAGCCTAATTCAACACAAAAAATGATATGTTGCATTAGGCAAATCTGCTGCACAAGACCTCTTTAAAGTTTTCAAGTGCATAGATGTCAGTTTGGGGACTAAGGTGCGCCCGACCTCAATATTTTCAATAGTGTGTGAAAGTTGAACAATGAATAAGGAAGATTGTAGAAGAGTTGATGCATTTGAGTTATGTTGTTGTTGTTGTTGTTGTTGTTGTTAAGTACCGTGGAGATGATTCTGACTCATGGTGAGCCTGCTCAGGGATTCTGAGGCTGTAAATCTTTACGGGAGCAGAACGCCTCATGTTTCTCCTGTGGAACTGCTGGTAGTTTCGAACTGTTGACCTTGAGGTTGGCAGCCCGACTGGTAACCACTACGCTACCAGAGTTATGGTGTTAGAGAAGACTATTGAAGGACTGTCTGTTTTGGAGGAAGTACAGCCAGAATGCTCCTTAGAAGCCAGGATGGTGAAACCTCGTCGCTCATACTTTGAACATGTTATTAGGAGGGATCAGTCCCTGGAGAAGGACGTCATGCTTGGTAAAGTGAAGGGTCAGTGAAAAAAGAGGAAGACCCTTAATGAAGATGGATTGGCATAGCAGTAGCAGCAATGGGCTCAATTGTAACAAAAATTATAAAGCTGTCACAGGACCAGACAGTGTTTCTTTCTGTAGTGCATAGGTTCTACGTGTCAGAACTGACTGGACAGCACCCAACAGCAACCAATAGGTGGTCTTCTGAAGAGAGTGTCTGTGTTGCCTTCCTAACATGTTACAACACTGACTCAGAAGAACCTGATGCAACTGTGTGTGTGGATGGCACCAAGTGTCCCCAGCAGCCACTGAGCCTGCCATGTGGAACTTCCCATGGACTAAGGGCAGGCAGGTGGACCTGGGACACAGCTGAGTAGAGGTCACTCCCTCTTCTAGGAGAATGGGGAGGTGCAGGGGCTCCCCCTTCCATCATCTCCCAGGAAAGCTGCCAGGATTCCGCCACACCTGGAAGTTCTCAGCATCGTCCTCTTGGGAATGGGGAGGTGGGCAGTGTCACAGCCTGTGTTTGGAACTGTGGTTCATTTGGAATGTGCCTTCCTTTACTCTCGTCTGCCTCATTCCAGATGAGGTGAAGTCCAGACCCAGAAGTAGTGAGTCCCAAGCTGGGGACTCCGGGGAGGTAGGGGCACCTGCCTGGGAGCCTTGCTCATGTACCCCGGGATTCCGGCCTGCTGGCTGAGTGAACAGACCCCACTAACAGCTCAGTCAGTGGAGAACATGTCAGACAGAGGTTTTTCCTGGTGAAGCTGCCTTTCCTGGGCAGCTCCAGCGAAGGTTCCATTGTGGAGCATCTTTGGCTGTCAAAGGCATCTGAAGTCTGACCCTTGGCGGAGAAGTGCATGGAGGCCTGCCCCTGATGATAGGCAGTCAGAGGCCGAGCTATAGTGGACCTACCAGGACTGGGAATCAAACCTGGTGTCACGTGCTCTCGTCCGTCCCCAGGAAGCGCAACAGCTGCTGAAGGTGAGAGTCTGAACACTGGAGTTGGAATTGTTCCAAGGAAAACAAGCTCTGCCTGCCACCTCTCAGATGCAAAACAAGCACAGAATAGAGCTCTGGTAGCATAGTGGTTACGAATTGGGCTGCAAACCTCAAGGTCAGCAGTTCGAAACTACCAGCTGTTCCGTGGGAGAAAGATAAGGCTTTCTGCTCCCTTAAAGATTTACAGCCTCGAAAACCCTGTACAGGGTTGTTATGAGTCAGAACCGACTTGCACGGCACATAACCACCACCACCACCACAGGACACTGGGGAGCTAGAACTCTCATGGAGAATTACATTGCTGTTTTTCAGCTGCCTCTTTTGGGGCATTCATATTTTTTGCTGGGGTGTGTTTTAGGTCATGCATGTGAGCCAGGTGTGAAACATTCCCGCTCGTTACCACCATCCAGATCGAGGGTCATCTCTAACGATGGGACCGGAGGCTTCCCAGGAGGCAGTCTTCTCTCGAGGGCTTCCCCAAGACGTGAGTAGGGGTGGGTGGCAGAGGATGGGAAATGGTGTGTGTGGTGCTGGGGGCGGGGAAGGGACAACCATGCTCTGGTTCAGTAGGAGCTGGGCAGCCTGGCTGCAGACCAGGGCCATGCCTCACTGGTTCTTCCTGGCCTGCAGGTCATATGTACTCACCCTACTAATCTAGCTAGGGTCTGTGTGACTCTCATAGAGAAGTTGTCCTTCTCAGAGTGGCATTTGTTTGGGGTAGCTGCACCTCTTCCAGAGAAGAAGAATTGAAGGAAAGGTCAGGAATAACATAGACTGATTTTCAAAAATGACTTTGATGCTCCTTGTGTTGGGAGGAGGAGGACTAAACTAATTGTTAAGGCTAGGGCTTGGTAAACATGCTCCCCACAGTGAGGAAGCTCTGGGGTGTTTGCGTCCCCTTAAGATGACCCTACCATCTTGAATATGAAATACTTGTCATTTGAATTGAAAGTGGAAAGTGCCCTTTAAGTAGCATTTCCCCAGATGTGCTAGATCATCAAGTCTGAATCCAAAGCTGTTGGGGGGCTTCCTGGTGTTTCTGGGCTGCCAACCCTTAGGTTTTCACACATGCTCCTGGAGAGTAGGCCGGGCCTAGGCTTTTTTGAATTGGAAGGGTCTTGGGGACCATCTTGTTCCTGGGCCTTTGATCAGGCACGAGGGTCCTTGGAAGCATGGAGGACCCCACGAGCCTCCTGAAACCTAAGGCAGAACTCTGTGAGTCTTTGCACATCTCCTGGGAAGAGAACTGACAGTCTTGGCCCAGCACCCTTATGTTCACATTGAAGCAGAGAGAGGTCAGCTGGCCTGCTCAGATACCTGGTGGAATGTGAGGAAGCTGGTCTAGAACCTGGACTTCCTGCTGTCAGTTCATCTCTGACCACCAGGAGGATGGAGTGTGGTCTCTGTGGGTTGGGGAGATTTGGGACATCTCAGCCCTCCAAGCACAGGGCTGAGATTATTCCTAAAACCTACACCCAGCCGAACCTGAACCACAAGCATTTGCTTGCAGTCTCCAAGACTGGTCCTCCAGCCCCTCCTTTGATCAAAACCACAGGGTGGAAGGTGCTGCATTAGAAAGCTCTGGAAGGCAGAAGTGTGTAACATCAAAGCTTCCTGACTCTCAGTGAATGCTGCTTCACACCGGCACTCGGGAATGTTGTTTCTGGTTTCATGGAACTGGGAGAGCATTTGTGACCACAGGACTGCAGGCTGAGGCAGCTCAGGCACTTCCAGGCTGGGCGCCAACTCATCCCCAAGAGACAGGCAAAATGCTCATTTGAGGTGGCTATTTAAGATGTCAAGGAGCTCTGGTAGCATAGTGGTTACAAGTTGGGCTGCTAACCTCAGGGTCAGCAGTCAAAACTACTAGCCATTCCACAAGGGAAAGTTGAAGCTTCCTACTCCCATAAAGATCACAGCCTTGGAAACCCTATGCAGGCTCGCTATGAGTCAGATCTGACTCCACAGCACACCACCACCACCACCCCCATTTAAGATGTCTTAGAGTTCTGGTGTGGCGCTTGGGTTAATGTGCTGGACTGCAAGATCGGTTTAAACTGTAAGGTCAGTGGTTCAAGCTAACCAGCACTCCTTGGAAACCCTATACACGGTTGCTATGAGTTGGAACTGACTCGACCTGTCTTAATAACAAACCAACGCGGACTCCTGGTGTGGCGCTGTAGCCTCAGCACTGGGCTGCAAACCACAAGGTTGGCAGTTCAGACCCACCAGCTGCTCATCAGAAACCCTATACAGAGTCGCTGTGAGTCAGAACCGACGTGGCGGTACTTCACAACAACAACAACAACAACTAATAAAAATAACCAATGCGTGGTGATTTGAAAAGCGATTAAATGACTTTCAAATACAGTGGTGGCAGGAACCTGGAAAATGGTACCTGTCTTGAGTGTAACAGAGGAAGAGGTAAGCAAGTAAGGGGAGGAAGATGGGATCACCGCAGGTGAATTGTCATCGTGCATCTGAGGGTGTAGATGAGAGAAGGTGGGAGCCAGGGGAGGCCCCACCCTGATGTTGGTACCTGAGGGCCAGAAAGGACCCCAGGCCAAGTTGAGATGTTGTATGTCACACACCCCATCCATATTGCATTTAGTGATCGTCCTGGACCTAATGCATCAGATGTTTCATGCATGTGTGATATGTGACTTTGTCCGGCGCACAGGGTCATTGTCCCATGGAGGAAAATGCAGCAGCATTCTGGGCTGGCTGGTCCTCTGTTAGTGCCAGGCCCTTTTTGGCTTCTTTGAGCTGCTAAAAAGATTTCCTGTGTGTCCAGGACTTAGTGGAGCTGCCCCTCAGGAGAAGGCTGTCCTGGAAGACAGTTGGGGGCCACAATGAGAGGCTAACGGGAGCTTGTTTCCATCTGGCCCGGCCACAGAACTCTTGGGCCAGAGGCATAAACTTCTTGGAGCCTTTGTTTCCTGAACAGGATTCGGGGCTCACAACACTCCCCCACAGGTGTCTGAGAGCATGGACGGGTGGTGGGGTGCAATGGGTTTGGGTGCTGTTGGCACCTCCCTGTTTTCTGAGGAATTGGGTGTCTTGGCAGAGAGGTGAAGCCGCGAGTTAGGCTGAGGCAGGCCCTGTGAAACTCCTAAGGGTATGAGGTTCTTAAGTTCTAAGTTTTTCCTAGAAAGTCACCCAGTGGTATATTAATGAACATGTGCCTAGGGTTTCAGACCGAAAGGCCTCTTATGTCAAAGGCTGGCATTGGTGGGGCTGTGGAGGTGAGGTATGAGTGAGAGGTCGGCCTGGGGGGCTGTGGAGGTCAGGGTGGGCTATTACCTTTTTACCAGCAGCTGACATCAGCCCAGTTCTGACCGGCAGGATGGCCTGAGGTGCTGTGGGCCTCCCTCCCAGGACATGCTGACTCGTAGTCGTTCTTACACTCTTCAGCAGGAAGCCGTGTGGTCCAGGCCCAGAAGCTGGCCGACGTGGACAGTGAGCTGGCTGCCATGCTGTTCACCCATATGCAGCTGGGGAGCCGGAACCCCCACAGTGCAGGCCGAGAGTCAGATGCTGTCCGCAGGCGTAAGCTAGAGCGGATGCGGTCGGTGCGTCTGCAGGAGTCTGAAGGGGAGCTTGACGGCCGGAGGAGCAGTGTGCTGGTGAGGGTCATGGTGCAGGGGTCGTGTGCTGGTGAGGGTCACGGTGTGGGTGCGGGGGTCATGTGCTGGTGAGGGTCACGGTGCAGGTACGGGGGTCGTGTGCTGGTGAGGCTGTGGCATGGGGTGTGGGGGGCACTCCCCTGCTTGGGTGGAGGCACTGAGGACAGAGACTGAGAACCACCTGGAAAGAAATGAGAAGCGTGAGAAACAGCCCCAGAGCTGTAGGTGGACCAGTTCCCCCAATACCCAGAGTAGAGCATAGAAGGCTGGTTCCCAGACTTGGTCAGCTCCTGTCTGCCTGTACCCACAGGCCCAGCAGAGTGTCCGTGCACAACACTTAAGGGACCTGCGGGTCATCGAGGCCTACCGTGAGCGCAGGAAGGCCGAGGGCATTGCCGGCCTGCTGAGCCTGGCCATCACCACCCAGCACACACTCTACGCCACCCTGGGCACTGCCGAGTTCTTTGAGTTTGTCCTGAAGAACCCTCACAACACACAGCACACAGTGACCATTGAGATCGACAGCCCAGAGCTCAGGTGGGCACACTGTGGGGTCCTGGGAAGCTGGTTTCCACATCTCTTAGTTCGGCTGATATAGGCTTTCTACCCTGCCCTTGTCCCTGGGTGGTGCAAAGGGTTAACATTCTCTACTGCTAGCAAAAATGTTGGTGATTCAAGTGCATCCAGAGATACTCGTAAGAAAGGCCTGACATTTACCTCCCCAAATCGGCGTTGAAACCCTCTGGAGCACTGTTCTTCTCTGGCACACGTGGGATTAGTCCCCGTGTACAGAACAAGTTTGTCAACCTCAAGCTCAGTCTCCCTCTCTCTCCAGCATCATCCTGGACAGCAGGGAGTGGCGGCACTACAAAGACGCCACCGGCCTGCTCACTCCTGTGGAGGAGGACATGTTCCATCTGCGTGGCGGAGGCCTGGCCCCACAGCTCTACCTGCGCCCCAAGGAGACTGCCCACATCCCCTTCAAGTACCAGACTTTCTCTCTTGGTCAGCCAGCCGCGATGCAGGTGGGGGCACTCTTCCACACATAAGGGCCTTGGGGCCAGTTCCATCTGGCTAAGTGAGGGTGGGATGCTGAGACCCTTTCCATTGCTGGTGCTTTTCTTCCGGGCCTGGTGTAGCTGTGGCTGGTTACACTCTATGGTCATACCCAGGTTCCTGTCATCAGGATGGGTGAGCTGGCTTCTTAGTAAATGTACTAAATGGGTAAAAAGAGCCTTTATTACCTTTCAGTAGGGCTAATGGACTGGGATTTTCTAGCATTTTACATTCTCCAGTTAATGCTATTTCTCCTCTATGTGAAATGCAAGCCTGCAAGCTTTCATAAAGGCTGTGTAAAGGGAGTGTGGGGGTGCTGGGACAGATTTGGGGGACACCTAGAGTGTGTGTGTCCTCTTGGGTAATTGTCACATCAGATGGGCTTGTGGTATCACCAAAGGCTCACAGATGGCACTGCTGGACCCTTGGGTGCCCTTTTTGGGCTACTGGCTCTGGACAGTGGCAGACCTGGGCTGTATGTTGCACCTGTCTTTCCTTAACTGGGTGGTGTCAGGCTGGGTGATTGTCAGAGCAGCTGTCCCTGAGAGTTACTGAGAGAAGTAACGGAGGTATTGCACTGGGGCCCCAAGTCTGGCGCCTCCTCATGGCAGCTGTGATCCCAAGTAGAAGCGTTCCTTACCTGTGACCCCACTTTGACCTGCTCGTGCTGATTGGTTCCTCACAGGGTGAACTGAGGTCTGAGCAGGCCACAGACACCGAATCGCCTCAGAAGTTAAGCACAGCACTCACGAAACATGCTAAGGTAGGGAGCCCAGCTGTCTCGTGGTCTGAGCAGGACTGAAAGAAGTGGACCGTGAGTGACCCCTCGTCCTCCCGGCCCCCATCTTCTACCTCTCATAAAGGAGGGCCCAGGGCTGAGGGCACCCAGAAGTGGATCTTTCTCATCACTCCTGAGTAGGTGGGCCAGTGTGGAAGCCTCTTTGGCACTGTGAAGGCATTTGTAGGCCTGCATTACCATGTGGTGCAGAATCAGTACTATCTGTGTGGGCTTGACACCTCCCAGCAGGAAGATGTGGTCCTGAATGACCTTCCCAAAGGGCACGTGGTACTGTAAGGCTGCACTCCTTGGCTCTCAGGGCATCCCCACCAGAACTTGGTCCCTGTCATTATATAAGAGCTTCAGAAGCAACTTTAACCACTTTGGAAGACAGGTCTTGTGATAGTTTGAACTTTAAAAGAAATCCTGTAACTCTTCAGCTGTGCAGTTGCCCTTACCTGCCTCTGCTCCGGGCTGAGACCACATCTGTGCAACTCTTGTCTGGATAGGGCAGCCTAGTGTCCACAGAGGATAAATGTATAATATATGCATGCTTTCCTTCCCCTCAGAGCTACCATCACTGCCCCAGGTGAGTGCCAGGCCGGTTCTCGCCCAACATTGTCCACATGCTCACCTTCCATGGGTCAGGATCCCTGTCCCCATCTCCTGTCTCCAGAGTCTGCCTGTAGCCCTGCTATAGGATCACCCACTCAGGGCCTGCACCAGATGCATGTGTTGTACCTTCTCCACTGCCCACCCCCGCTACTCTGCCAGGTCTGTCTTTCCGCCTGTCTTTCCTAGCTGCAAGTCACCAAGAGCTTTTCCTGTCTGCATTTGCTGCCCTGAAGCAGCCTGTGCAGCAGGGTCAGGACAAGTGTGTGATTCTTTCCTTGTGTCAGCTTTCACTATAATGAATTGTGGCCTAGCAACTTCCAACCAGGATTGATTTTTTTGGAGTCTCCTTGGGAACTTGAGTTTAGTATGCGATGTGTTTCTCAGGCCTTGGACAGTTGTTTTTCTTCACAGTGAAGAGTGCCCTCTTTCTGGCCAGTGGGATTCCTTTCCAGTGAGCTCTTCAGCTTTTTTTCATTCCAAACTTTAAGTAAGAATAGCACGAGGACTTCCCATGTGTGTTTACCCAGATATCCCCATTATTAACTTTCTACCACATTCACCTTCTCACTTTCTGCATATATTTGAACAATTTGAGAATGAGTTATCGACACAGTGCCCTATTTTTCCATGCAGTGTAATATTTGTTGTTGTTAAGTGCCGTCAAGTACATTCTGACTCATAGTCACCCCGCACAGGGTTTCCAAGAGACGACTGGCAAGTTTAAACCACCAACCTTGTGGTTCAAACAGACCTTGTGGTCCAGTGCTTTATCCCACAGCACCACACCTCAAAATCATACACTTTTCCACGTAGCCACAGCAGGACCCTCAAAACAGGAACCAACTCTGATGTCAGCTCATTTTCAAGCCACACCCACGTTCCCCCAGTCACCCCACAATATGTTCACAGGTCTGGAGTGCAGTTTCGGCTCAGATGGTATAGTGTGCTGTGTCTCACAGGCCCTTTCCAGAGACAGGGCACACACACGAATATCTAGTTCTGTATCTGTCTGCAGATTACAGACCATGAAGCATACCACACCCCCAATTCCCATCCAGTACCACAGGCCTTCCTCTATCCACCCTCACTCCCTGTCTGTAATTCCCACTGAGGTTAGCGGGAATTCCCATCATCTTCAGTGTAGTCACAGTCTGCTCCCTTCCTGTATGTAACCCACCTGCTGACCACACTGGACAAACCCCTTTGGCCCTGGTGCCACTAGCCCTGCGGGTTTATGCATATGTATGGCTTTCAAAGTGCCAGTTCACTAGCAAGAGCACTGTAGTTCAAGCATTCTGAGAGGTTCTTTATGACCTCAGAATGTGTTTCACCAATGATACACAGTCATCCCTTGGAGTCTATGAGAGATTGAGTCCAGGACACCCCCAACACTCCTGATGTGACATCTGCAGATGCTTAAGACCTTTCTATAAAATGGCATCGTGTTTGCACAGAGTCTACACACGCCCTCCCATCTATTTTAGATGATTTCTAGCTTACTGCTAATAACTAATATAATGTAAATACTATAGACAGCACAGTGGTTATGAATCGGGCTAATAACATTAAGGTCGGCAGTTCGAAACTACCAGCCGTTCACGGGAGAAAGATGAAGCTTTCTGCTTTAAAGATTTATAGCCTCAGAAACCCTGTGCAGGGTCACTATGAGTCGGAACCGACTCCACAGTACTTAACAACAACAACAGCTAGTCTTTGAAGCATTATTTTAACCATTTAATTGCTTTTTTGAATATTTCCTATCTGCTTGGTTGGATCAGTGGCTGTAGGACATGCGAATATGGAGTGCCAACTGTCTAGTCAAAATAATTATGTTTTGAATTGACTTAAAGAATTCTTCATTATTTCACCAACTATATTAATATATAATTAAGTTCATTTATTATCAATATATTGTTGTTGCTAAGTGCTGGCGAGTTGGTTCTGACTCACAGTGACCCGGTCTGTGTAAGGTTTCCAAGGAACAGTTGGTGGGTTTGAACTGTTAGACTTGTTTGTGGCTAGCAGTCAAGTGCTTATCTAACACTGTCACACCATGACTCCTTTAGCAGATGTTGTAGCTGTTGTAAAGTTGGTTCCAACTCATAGTGATCCTGTATAAGGTTTCCAAGGGCAGCTGGTGGGTTTAAACTGCTGACCTTGTGGTTAGCAGTCCTGTACTTATCCTACAGCACCCCACCAGGAGCCCACATTTCAATATAAGAGGATCCCTTTTTTCTTTTTTGAAAACTGATTTAGTTTCTTTTTTAATTAATGAAAACATTTACTTAAGTCCAAAGTCAAACTACTAAGCAGAATGTATTCAGAAAGTTTAAACTTCCGTTCCTTGACCTTCTCCCATGCTCCCTTATTCCATGTGTGTATGTGTGCATGCATGAATTTATGTCCTGGAGGTCATACCGTGGTATCTGGAGAGCTCCTAGCCAGAACCATAAGGCTGAGTGAACCCCACAGGTGTGGAATTACACCTATACTGCAGTGTGTTTCATAGGAGCTTCCCAAAGGCAAAACCAAATTAAATGCCGTTTAAAGATGGAAAGGTGGGAAGGAAAGCCAAGAGCCACTAAACCCAAGCTCAGGAGTGGGGTTTCCTCTTGACGTGTCAGGGTCTACCTTGCATGCATTTCCAAGGCTGTCCTCCCCAGTCTTAGGGCTTGTTAGAAGGAGACACAGTGCAAGAAGCCGCTCCAACCCACCACACCAGTCCTGACTTGACATCTGTTCTTTCGGCAGGTCACCTTCCGGGCAAACAGCGGCAAGCCCCTGGCCATGCTCTGCCTGGCCGTGGAGCCCCAGCCCCATGTGGTGGACCAGGTCTTCCGCTTCTATCACCCGGAGCTCACCTTCCTGAAGAAGTCCATCCGCCTGCCCCCATGGCACACGCTTCCAGGCAAGTGGTCAGGCTGTCCCCTGGTGGACATGCCCGTCAGTGAACTGCAGGCGAACACCTGCCTTGTTATTTGAAATGGTGGTTTCCTTCTTCGTAGCAGGACCGGTCAACCCTTCTACAAAGTTCAGGTCTGCGGAGACACAGGCTTGGGATGGGAGACCTGTGTGACCCCTGAGTCCTTAGCCCATGGACCCACTGACTTCCCCGAGGTTACCTTCAGAAGCAGGTCCCCTGCTTGGTGGAACCTCCACTGGTCAGTTTTTATCTCCCCTGAGCAGGTGGCTAAGAGTTGGTGGGCCAGGCTTGAGCTGAAGTGGTCACTCTGCCCCTCTGTGGTATCTGTCCATCTGTCTATTTCACTGCAGGCACCTCTTGAGCGCCCCCGTGTCAGTCTGGGCATGCCCTGAGCATTGATCGAGATGTGGAGTGCTGCCAGGGTATCTGCCACTTAGGCCGGGCAGTGGAGAAAGACGTATGTATGTTCTGATGTTTTTTCTGCTCCAGGTGGCCCTGTGGGAGCACCCGGCGAGGACCCCTCAATCCATGTTCGATGTAGTGACCCCAACGTCATCTGTGAAACCCAGAATGTGGTATGTCTGCTGTGGCCTCTGCCTGGGGGGGGCAGCCAAGGTTCCTCACAGAACTCACACAGCCATCATCACCCCCATCTCCTGACTCCCTCTTTATCTGAGAGTCTAGGCTACATGCTGCTTCCCAAGGTGCTAAAGGCTATGCTGACGTCCTTGTGAGAGTTTTGTGAATGAATTTTCCTTTCTGCTAGCAGATCGGTTCTTTGATCATTTGAATTTTAATTTAGAAAGGTATGCAGCAGGAGGGAATAGAGTGGAGGTAATTAAGGCCTGTATTAATTGCCATTGTGTAAAGATAAAGGCAACAGTCATATCAGGGCTGATTAGGAAACTGGATAAAATCTTCTGCAGATTATAATGATCAAAATCAATATAAAATCAAGAAGCTAATGATTTTCGCTTTTGCAGTGAAGAACAAAAGCAAACCATAATAATGCATACTGGAATGAATCTGCTGTGGGCAGGGAGTCTGGTCCCACCTGCTCTCACTCTGCATGGATCTGGATGTTGGGGGATAGGCGAGAGGGAGGATGGGAGAGAGAGGGTGTGCACCACTGGCCACATTGTCTGCTGGCAGGGCCCGGGGGAGCCCCGAGATGTGTTCCTGAAGGTGGCCAGTGGTCCGAGCCCTGAGACAAAAGACTTCTTTGTTTCCATCTACTCGTGAGTAACAAACCCAGGGGACAGTGGGAGGAGCAGTAAGGTGGCAGGTCCAGAGCTGTGAATGGGAGTAGAGGCTCTGTGCTGGGAGGCGCCTTGGGGTGGGGGGCATCCTCTCTGCTCTGGGTGGCACAGATGGCCTAGTTGGCCATTGGGGTGTGGATGCGGGGACAGTTTCCCTCCAGGCTCACATCCAAGGGACCAGGTCCCAAAGAAAGAGACATGGCGCCTTTACCCCATCTGTACCCAGCAGCCTAGTTATTTTCCTAGAGTGTGGAGCTGGGTATACTGAGCTGTGTCCCCCCAAGCCCCCAAGGTGTTTAAAGTCTGGGGACTAGGATCCAACCCCCCTTTCTTTCTTCCACTAGGGCAAATAGCTAGGTCACTCCTTTTTTCTCCTGAGTCCTGGTTCCCACCCCTTTGCTGATGTTGTTAAGTGCTGAGTGGGTTCCAACTCATAGCTACTTTGTAAAGGGTTTCCAAGGCTGTAAATCTTTTCAGGAGAAGAAAACCTCATCTTTCTCCCATGGAGCAGCTGGTGGGCTAGAACTGGCGACCTTGTGGTTCGCATTTCAGTGTTTATTGTATGGAGTCACTGTGCTCTCCAGTTCCCACTCCTTTGAGGGCCCTTTAAAACTGCTTCAAACTGGAGGATTTCTGTCGTGTTTCCAAGAGTGGGCGGGGTGCAGGGGACAAGTCCAGTGATGGGTTGGCAGGGTCTTCCACTGTGTCCAGGCCCAAGTCCTTTCCAGGCCCCCTGGACTTTGTCTCAGTCAGGACTCTGCTTAGGGATTTGAGCTGCTCCGGGTGCCGGTGGTGGTGGGGAGGAATGCTCATTGTCCTGCACGCCTTCCTTTGGTTCTGGACCCCCACCCTGACCCCCACCCTGGTACAGAGTAGGGTGAAGAATAGGCCACAGCTGCTCTAGAACCCTCAGCTTAGATGGGAGGTGGGCATTTAGGCCCCTTATCCCTCTGTCTCTGCGCCAGCCTCTGGATGGACAATACTTCCTGCCTGTGTCCGTGCTCAGCTCTCAGGAGTCCTCTAGGACGGCTTCCATCCCCCAGGGCTCCCCTCCTTCCACCAGGGCCTCCCTTCCTTAGACCTCCTGTCCTTGGGTGGGTGCAGACCCCTCTGTCCAGGGCTCCCTCTCTTCCCAGGTCTCCCCACCCCTGCCTTGGGTGGGCGCAGACCCAGACCCCTGTGTCCGGTCACAGGGATCGCTGGCTGGCGGCGCCCTTCCAGATCTGGCAGGTCTACCTTCACTCCCTGCAGCGTGTGGATGTCTCCTGTGTCACAGGCCAGCTGACCCGTCTGTCCCTGGTCCTTCGAGGGACACAGACAGTTAGGAAAGTGAAAGCGTTCACCTCACACCCCCAGGAGCTGAAGGTATGTCCTGAGTGGGGGCCACTGGACCAACCTCATGCCTTTCCCTCCTGCACCCTTCTGGGCCTGGCCCCAGACACAGTTCAGCGGGTGATCTGGTGATGGGCTTTTATAAGGCATTTCATAACAAAATGTGTTTTCACCAGAATCCCTTTTACTAATGGTGTCACTCATAGGATGATTGATGTAAACCCCAAAGGCAAACCTGTACGACTGTTGAAAACGAAATACTTATAGTCACTGGAATGAACATAAACAGCTCATGTGCTTGGTTGCTAAGGAGAGGTTGGAGGTTCGAATCCACCCAGATCTCAGAAGAAAGACCTGGTGATCTACTGAAAAATCAGCTCTGAGTGTTTTTCTGTTGCACTTGGGGTCAGAGTCTAATCCACAGCAGCTACCTGGGGTTTTTGATTTAATTTTGCCTCTGGATGGTGAGAGAGCACCAAGGCACTAAGTGGGAGGCTGAGGTAGAACATAGGAGGGAGGACCAAACTCCACAGGAACCCCGAGGTGCTGCAGTATTGACTCACAAGGCTAAGGGCTTCTGTCTCCCCTCTGACTGTGTCTGCTGTATGCAGGACCTGGTCCCCCCTGGGTAGTACTGCCACCACACACCCCTCCGCTCCACCTCTCCTCCCAGCGAACCCCCCGCAGCCACTCCAGAGACTTCTTGTTTGTGCTCATGGGAGAGCGCACCCTGACCTTGCTTCTCTCCTGTGTTTATCAAAGACAGACCCCAAAGGTGTCTTCGTGCTGCCCCCTCACGGCGTGCAGGACCTGCATGTGGGTGTGCGGCCCCGTCGGGCCGGCAGCCGGTTCATCCACCTCAACCTCATTGACGTGGACTTCCACCAGCTGGTGGCCTCCTGGCTCATATGTCTCTCGTGCCGCCAGCCTCTCATTTCCAAGGTTAGTGCTGCTGTGTGGAGGCTGCCTGGACGGGTGGTGCAGGGTCACCTGGAGGATGTCCTTCCATGTAAGGCTGGGGGCTGGGACACATGTTTACGCCTCTCCTTGCTGTGTCCCAGCTCAAGGGCTGGCCGGCGCAGAGCAGACTCCCGAAGCACTGGAGATGGCCGGGATGGCCACAGTGCCCCTGCCCTCTCTCCCTACTCAGGCCTTTGAGATCACCATGACAGCGGGCCAAGGGAAAGGAGCCAACAAGCGGATCACTTACACCAATCCCTACCCCTCCCGGAGGGTGTATCACCTGCTCAGCAACCACCCTGACCTGCTGCAGTTCAAGGAGGACTCCTTCCAGGTGCGGGGGTGCCCTGGGCACTTTGGAGACTGGTGGGGCTGATGTACTGGCGACGGAGGTTCCGGGGCCCCTTTCTCCCAGATCCCGGCCTATTCTAGAAGCTCAATAGTGACCATAGTGAGGGACTGCTCAGTCCACACAGCAGTGTGCAATGTGGCCCTGTGAACTATGGGATAAGTCCTTAAAACCGCAGGTGGGCTCATGATGTATAAGTTCTTTTGAGGCCTACCTTCCTAGCCCCATCGCAGGGCATGGCCCAGCCTCTTCTGTTCCATGGTTTCTGGTCAGTTTATGTAGAACTGTCCGGCAGACCCCTTGTCTCTCAGAAGGACTGCTGTGCACTGTATCTTAGGGGAAGTGCAGCAGAGCGCCCTGTTAGGTGTGGTTGCTGTTGTTAGAGCCCTTGAGTCTGCTCCCACTGAGTGAGCTTATGCACAACAGAACGCGATAGTGCCCAGTGGTGCGCTATCATCACGGTCTTTGCTGTGTTTGAGCCATTGTCGCTGCCACGGTGTCAGTTCATCTCGTTAAGGAGCTTCGTCTTTCACGCTTAGCAGTGTCTTAGGCAATGCTTTTGGTACGTCCTAAGGGGTTTAAAAGGAGCTCTGGTAGCGTAGTGGTTACGAATCGGGCTGCAAATCTTAAGGTCAGCGGTTCGAAACTACCAGCCGCTCCGCGGGAGAAAGATGAGGCTTTCTACTCCCGTAAGGATTTACACCCTCGGAAACCCTGTTACAGGGTCACTATGGGTCGGAACCGACTCGACATCACTTAACAACAACAACAACAACAAGGGGCTTAAAATTCTTCATTGGCCCATACAACCTAGTGTCGGCTTGAAGTAGGTGTCCGTGTGCGTGAAGTAACTAGGAAAAAGCAGGACACACTCCATTTTGACCACAGTGGTTCTGGATCTTTCTGGCTCAGTGTCGTCTCTGGGTGGCGCAGACAGTTAAGTGATCTGGTGACAGTGGTGTGCTGTCACAGGAACCCTGTATAGGGTTTCTGAGGCTATCAATCATCCCGAGAGCAGAAAGCCTCATCCTTCTCTGGTAGATTCAAACTGCTGACCTTGAGGTTAGCAGCCCACCACAGTACCAGAGCTCCTACTAACCAAATGGTTGGTGATTTGAAGCCACCCAGAGGCACCTCTGAAGAAAAGTCTAGAGATCTGCCTCTGAAAAAGCAACCATTTGAAAAAACTCTGGCACACAGTTGCTCTCTGAAACATGAGAGATTTGCTGTGAGTTGAACTTGACGGAATGGCAGCTAGTTTGCTTTCATTTTTTTCCAGGTTGGAGGAGGGGAAACCTATACAATCGGCCTACGATTCGCCCCTAGTCAGAAGCCTGGGGAGGAGGAGATTCTGATCTACATCAACGACCATGAAGACAAAAATGAAGAGACTTTTTGTGTGAAGGTCATCTACCAGTAAAGGGACACCTAGTGGGGAACATGCAGCCCTCACGTCAGCCAGGGGAACAGCTCATCCTCTCCTTAACACTCTGCAGATATGGCGGCTAGGAAGGGGTGGAGGGACCATCATCGTTTGACACCACGTCCAGTCACGCTACTGCTAACCCTTCACCTGTAGAGCAAGACCCAGACTGAGCACAGGCCCCTTCACTTGCGCCATCCTTGGGATAAGAACATTAATTTGCTTTCAACAAAATGACTTGCTGACTTTAACAAAATATATTTTATGCATCATCTTATGTGATAAAATTATGTCTCAATGCATTTTATACAGATAGACTATTTATTTGATATGCACTATTTATACTGGCATGATTACATGTGTTTTTAAAGTTACTATGCAAAAACACTAAACTTGTACACGTCTTTTCTCTGACAGTTTCATCCTACACCTGTTTTTCCCTTGAGGGAAATGCGCCTGGGGACACTCAGGCTGGTGAGTCCATCCAGGCCTGAGGACAGAGTTCTACATTGTACAGGAGATGGCTGCTATGGGGTGGGCTGGCTCCCCAGTCCTCTGCAGGGGTCACGGTTGCACAGGGCCGTGGACTTTTAACTCCACCCTGTCTGGGCTCTCAGGAATTGACTTTCCTATGTTTTGGGCAAAGATCAGTAATTGCTCTGTTTCTTCCCAGCGCACTTTCCATCATGCTGCAGCCACTTCTCCTAGAGAGCTCCTGTGTGTGTGTCTGGATGGGACCTGCAGCTTGGCTGTGCTCACAGGGTGAGCATAAAGAAACCTATGCGTGCCTGGGCCTTGGTTTTGGGTTAGGTCGTTTTGTGATCCACTCCCCATGGACTTGGAGACCAGCTTCCAACTCCTTTAAGGACCTGACAGCACAGGCTGTGGCCCGCCTAGTGTTCTTCCCGAGGGACCTGGACTTTGTTACACAGTAGGCAGACCCTGATGTCCAGTCCTGCTTGAGCGAGCAGCCTTCAGCCCAGTGTAAGAGAGGGACAGTTTCTTCCCTGCAGAAAAGCTCACCCAATGTTCTCTGGGCCTCTGGTTGGTCTTCCTCTTTGCTGTCACGACAGTACCATGGCTGGAACGATTGGACAGCTGAGGGGCTCTGGGAAAGGAAGTTCTGTGACTTGTAGGGATCATGAAGAAGGGCCATCTGCAACAAGAGTGGGGGTTGAGGGAGAGAGGCAATGACGCCAGGGATGGAGACAGAGACAATGACTTGGACAGATGGAGTGGCTGGGGACACTGGACTCAGGGAGGGAGAAGAGCTGTGTGCTGGTGGCCAGGGAGTGGGCCTGTGTGGTGTACACTTTGGTTGTTTGATGATGCATGGAGAGGATTGTAATCATTGCAATGAAACGAACTACGATAGGATGAGTGTAAAGCTGATGTTCTCCCATGTAAACCTGACAATAAAAACTTAAAAAGAGTGGGGGCTGAGGAGTCAGGAGACCCGGGCTCAAGCCCAGCTCCTCCTGCTCTCTTGTTTCCCTCACTTAGCTTTGTATTACAAAAATTTAAAGACTGGTGGAGTTTATACCCTTATACTTACTACCTTTATTTAGTCCACAATGGTGAAAAATGTTGCCATCTCTGTTTTCTCTGTGTACGTCTTTTGAATCATTTGAAAGTTGTCATCCCGACCTTTTACCCTAAACTGCTTCAACACACATCTACAAAGACACACATTCCCCAACACAAACATATTCTACTATTCTCTCAGACACTTTAGAAAAGTTTGTTACTAAGAAAAATTATCCAGGCTATATTTAAATTTCCTCAGTTGTCTTTAACATGTATCTTTAAAACAAATCATTCTTTTACTGACGGAAACTTAGGTTCTTTCCAGTTATTTGCTATTACTAGGGAGTCCTGGTGTAGCACTGTGGGCTAATGCATCAGACTGCAAATTCGTTTGAACTGCAAGGTCGGTGGTTCAAGCTCACCAGCTGTACCTTGGAAACCTTGTACAGGGTCTCTGTGGGTCGAAATCGACTTGATGGCACTTAAAAACAACAATAGCAGTTATGGTACAATTAATGTCTATGTCCTGGTGTGGCTTTGTGAGTGAATGAGCTGGACTGCAAAGTCCGTTTGAACCATAATATCATCAGCTCAGGCTCACCAGCTGCTGCTCAAAAACCTAAAACCCAGAGTCGCTATGGGTGGGAACCGACTCGAAGGCACACAACAACGACAA